GTAAGCTGCTGCTGCTGCTGCTGCTGCTGTTGCTGCTGTTGCTGCTGCTGTTGCTGCTGTTGCTGCTGCTGCTGCTGTTGCTGCTGTTGCTGTTGTTGTTGCTGGTGGTGGTGGTGTTCTTGATGCTGCTGCTGCTGTTCGTTTTGTTCTTGTTGGTGCCTCTGCTGCTGCTGCTGCAACTACTCCAACTGTTGCTCTTGCTGCTGCTGCTGCTGCTGCTGCTGCAGTGTCCTCGTCCTGTGAAGGCAATAAAGGCGGAGGCACCAACAGTATCTGTTTTAGTAATGCCTAATTCTTCTCCTCTTGCTGGTCAAGACAGCGGCACCCCTACAACTATATTATCATTAAGGGAGAAACTTAAGGCCCTTATAAGAAAGTAATAAACCCTAAACCCTAATTAACCCTAATTAACCCTAAACCCTAAACCCTAATTAACCCTAAACCCTTCCTGATATATTTACCAAACATTGCTACTATTTAGTAATGCATTCTGTATTCTGTATTATTTATGATTTTTAGGGTTTTATAATTTTTTCCAATTTTTAGGGTTTAGGGTTTAGGGTTTAGGGTTTAGGGTTTATGTGTGTATATATAATAATTCAGCGATATATCAGCAAAAGTATCGGTGGGCCCTGGTGGTCTTTGTCTTAGCGGTAGGGGGCCCCTACATTTAGCTGTATTAATTGAGAATCTAAGAAGGAGTGGCTTAGAGCTTGCTGTTGCTGCACCGGATATATTACCAAAGTAAACCCTAAACCCTAAACCCTCATAAACCCTAATTAACCCTCATAAACCCCAATATAATCCTAATATACCCTAATATTGCCCTAATAAACACTAATAAGCACTAAACCCTAGTGGCAGACAGGGGCGTTTCTTTCTCCTTCCCTTTGATCGTCATATGCAGTTCGTACCACTGTAGTATTCTTAGGGTTTAGGGTTTAGGGTTTAGGGTTTAGGGTTTGGGGTTTAGGTGGGACGGAGAACAATGGTTGGAGCCTTATGAAGATTTTGAATTGACGATTTCAACAGACGCGATGGGCGCTGCACTCAGAGAAGTACAAACACGGTAAATTAGGGTTTAGGGTTTAGGGTTTAGGGTTTAGGGTTTTTGGGTAAGAGACCAAGGAGATAGTTAACCTTTTTGTCTCCTTTCCCTTTCCCCTTTTGCTGTTACTTCCTTCCCCTCCCTTTGCGATGTGTCTACACCATCTGAATATCCACAGCAGCAGCAGCAACAGCAGCAGCAGCAGCAGAGGGACATGCTGCAGTTGTGTATACTGTTTGTGTATTATTGCAGTCATGGTTCTGTAACGGATATGATAACATTAGACTCTGGCGGTGCATCCTCCTCCAGCAGCAGCAGCAGCAGCAGCACTGCCACCAGCAGCAGCAGCAGCAACAGCAACAGCAGCAGCAGCAGCAGCAGCAGCAGCAGCGGCACAAGTATGTTATTTTTTCGTGTTGCAACAAGATTTTCTTTTGGATTAAAGGCAGCACTAATGGAGGCATCAAAGGGAGCAGCAATTCTTAATTCTTCTCCTGCAGGTCTGCATGCATTAGTACCTGGGGCCCCTGTACCTAGGGCAGCAAGGGGCCCCCCTCCTAATACAGTAGCAGGAGGAGGAGGAGAGGGTATTGATGATATAGATGATGATAATGATGATGCAGAGGAGCAATTATTATTGCAGCAGCAGCAGCAGCAGCAGCAGCAGCAACGTATACCTAAAGAAGGAGAAAAACAGCAACATTCATCAAGACAAGTATTTACAGTAAAAAAACAAATAGAAGAAAAACAAGAAAAACAAAAAGGATTTCTTGTTGCTATTGAACAAGGAAAGGCTACTGTTAAAGGTATCTTGCATGCACAGGTATGTAACAAATAGCTAGCTACCTACCTAGCTACCTATCTACCTAGCTAGCTAGCTAGCTAGGTAGGTTGGTAGCTAGCTAGCTAGGTAGGTAGATGGATGGGTAGCAAGCTAGCTAGCTGGGTAGCTAGCTAGATGGATAGCTAGCTAGCTAGCTAGATCCCCGGTTAGCTACACGAAACATGCTATGAATGCTGCTTCTACTGTTTCTGCTGCTGCTGTTGTTGTTGCTGTTGCTGCTGCTGCTGCTGCTGTTGCTGCTGCTGCAGGAGAGAGGAGAGGTGTTTGTGTCTCCTGGTGATGAGGTTTATACAGGGATGCTTGTTGGCCTTCACAAAAGACCCAATGATCTACCCGTAAGAATATACAAGAGACTAGCTAGCCAGTTAGCTAGCTACCCAGCTAGCTAGCTACCCAGTTAGCTAGCTAGCTATATAACTATCTATATATCTATCTAACGACATACTCAGCTAGCTACCTACATAGCTAGCTACCTACATAGCTAGCTACCTACATAGCTAGCTACCTACATAGCTAGCTACCTGGAGAGGTATCGATCTATATAGCTAGCTAGCTAGCTAATTATCCATCAATATATATATATATATATATATATATATATATATATA